CTCTATGAAAATCAATAGGTTCCAAGTGACAAAATGCTTGAAGAGGTTTCACTTCACTTGACACAGCTTGTTATCTGCAAGCTACTTTCCTTAATGTGTTCTGAGACCTCAATTGGGCCAAAAAAAGTCTATTTGAGCAAGTGATTTATTATTCTCCTCTCCATCACTGACCAAGGGTGACCTTGCCTGCACTTTGAGAGCACACTCATGAGTGGTTAATAGCAGTGTTTAATAGATGCATATCTTTAACCCAGACTGAACCATCCATCTCTTTTATGTGCACCACAGCGATTGGAAAATGCATGACCTATAATAAATTTTCCATGTTCCCAGAGATTAGACAGAAAGAAACAAGAGTAAGAAAGCTACATCATCCATGCTGAGTCTGTCAATTGAGGGTACAGTGGAAAATGCAGAAGGTCTCCGAGAGAGGTAGGTGGTCGCCACTCATTAAGACAAAGAGGACACAGAGGCTCCCTCCTCTTGGCATAAAACAGTCCCATTTAAGAGCTGTTCAAAATATTCTCAAGTATTTCTTCCTGAGGTTATATTTGCTCAATGATTCTTTAACCACCTAGTTACCTTCCCTCGAAAACAGTACCTGTATTCTAAGAACCTCAAGGGGATACACATTTATAAGGTAGCTTGCATTAATGAAATGGAAAGAATGTGCAGTTAAGAAAATCGAGTTTCTAAAACTGACTATGGATTGAGATTTGAATGACTTTGAGCAATTACTTAGCTTCTGTGAGCCTCAGAAATAAAAAGCAAATATACAGAAATGCTGTTAGAATAAATGAGAATATTAATTCATGTATGTAATATATTTTTTATTGCAATGATTTATGTCAAGTTCCTGGCGCAAAGCTACTGTACAGTATAGTGGACTTATTACCATTCCAAAGTCTGCTTAAGTTCCCCAGTTTTTGCAAGAGTCATAAACACTTAGAGCTACCTCCAATCACACCTATTCCTGTTTCTGAGAAATCTCTTTTCTGTAGCAGATTGCTCAAGAGGTTCAAACCCATTAGATAGTTGTTCCACAAAAGAAAGATGGGTAATCTCTTCTCATGCACTTTACAGCTTCTGTTAACCCGCTGGAGGGTCAGCTATGAGTTGGTTCTGACTCTACAGCACATAAGAACAGCAACATATACAAAACTGGAAAATAAAATTTAAAAGCTCAGTAAGGTCTTTTTAGGTATGATTTGGCTAAAGTATTATTATTGTTGTTGTTATGTGTTTAGGTGCCATTGAGTTGCTTGCTACTCATAGTGATTCTATGTACATCAGCCTTAAACCCTGTTCTGTCTTATTGTGCCAACCTTATTGTCTCTGACACACCTACCCCCACCCCAGTGATAACTCAGGTAAAATAGTATCACTCGCATGAACTGCTTCTGAAAACGGTGACTCTACAATCACCATATCATTTTTTTTTAAAGTTGAGATTCCTCTGAACTCGGAAAAATTCAGTGACATTTCCATCTTCTTACTCTGTTCAAATGCTAAAACTTCCGTGAATCTAGATTTGAGAGTTTTCTTCCCCTTTTGTGCAGTTCTAATCGTATCACAGTCAAATAACATCTATAACATGACCCAATTTTGTAAATCATGTGGTTGTTCCACTAGCTGTTTTTGTCAGAATCATTTAAAGCCCCCAAATTCTTTAATCTTGGGAAAACAGTTTAATAAATTGTGTACCCTGTTTTCTTCTAAAAATCACGTGAGGAAGATAATTAAGGATTCATGCATAAAAGGAGAAAAATAACAATTTATTTCCTGCATCGTTGATTCATCATTTATAAGGTTTAAAGTAAAAATTCTACTGATAGCTCAAGCTAATTGGTTCTTGAGAGGTAAGTAATTAAGTATTTTATGAGCAACAAATACAGAATTTGCTGTGAGTTGATAATTATTTCAAAGTAAAAGAAATGGCTACCTCCCTCCCTGCCACAGGAGAAGATGGATGACACTTCTAGTGATTTGACAACTTATTTCTTCAGTACAAGTGTCACTCATTCTAAGAGCAAAAAAAAAATCAAGCACATAAACAACCAGAAAGCACTTTTCAATATATTTTCTTCTCTTCCACATTCTTCTCACCATCAAGGTGTTATTCCCACTAATAATGCAATAAGATAAATGGACATATTAATAGAAAAATGTTCCCATATAATAAAAGGTTAGCTCAATTATTAATTTCTATTTACTCATCCTTGAATACATCTACACAAGAATGTCACTGATGTTTATAACATTAAAACACTGCAGCTTTCTGAATAGACTGATGAAACCTGTCCACCATGGGTGATCCAGCTGGTGTTTGAAATACAGATGGCGTAGCTTCTAGCAACACTAAAACATGCAGTAAAGTAAACCAACAGACAAGTGGTGGAACTCCACTGTGAAAGGCATACAAGGGGATTTGGTTCTGAAGAGTAAAAAAATAATAATAATAATAATAAATGCCCCAAACCATTGATGTCAAGCCTGACTTCCACTGGTCCTACAGGATATCACCTAACAGCTCTATAGATGCAAAACACCAACCTCCTTGTATGCAGTCAGGTGTGTTACCTACTGCACCACCAGAGTCTCTCATCTGAACCGTCACAATGTAGAAAATCCTAGGCATCATGTCAATCAATTCTGCACACGTGAGGTTGCCATGATTAGACTGACGTTGCAGCAGCTAACAATCAGAGATGGCACAGGATAGGGCAGGTTGTAGGCCGGCTGTTCATAGGGTCGCTACAAATCGTACTTGACTTGATGGCACCTAACAACAACAACAACAGGGTTCCATAATTGTAAGCCAATATATTCCTGTTCTTGAAAGTCACTCATTCATGATTTTTTTTTAAAAATGCAACAGTATAAGGAAACTAAGACTCTCTTTTTCTCCTCAAAAGCTGTCCTTGGTTGAATCCTCCAAGAAAGTGCTTTCCCTACTTTACTTGCCTTCTATAAATAGACTCTTAAGCTTCTTTCATTTCATTTCAATACATGAGTCTCTGAGTACATGGCCTGTATTGAATCAAACACTGGAGGCAATTGCTCTTTGTGGTTTTGCCTGCTATTTTCTCTCATTTTACACGTTGACATGGCTGGTTTATCCTAGGAGACAATGCCAAGGATGTCATCTAATTCCTGTTCAAAGTTGAGGTTTCTCCAGGGGATCTTCTCTCATTCCACTTGACATAGCAGTAACAGTGTTTGACAACATCTGCCTTGCAGCAGCACTTCACAGCTCCATCAGACACTTGGTTCCCATCCACATTCTCTCCACGCCTGCCTTTTGAGGAAGACGTTCCCACAGCACAGGTGGAAAAGAGAAGGCAGCAAGGGCAAACCACGGCTTTATTTTCCTCAGTGAATATAAGTCATGGATCTACCAAATGTCTCCACCTATCTCTTATTCTACATCATCCAAAGACTTTTGACATAAAGCACATTCTCTAAACAGGTTCTGTGTCCTTTGGGGCCCTAGAGCATTTACAAGTCGCTTCTGAATGCTTATTTTCTGAGACTTTTCCATTCCTAGCCCTTCCAAAGTTTCTTCAACTATGAAAACTAAATAACTGCTCACAAATTTCACCAACAATTTTTTAAACCAACAAGAAAAGACACATGAAGTCCAAAAAAATCTTTGAATGTGACAAGTATTAAAACATGCCAATTTATTTTCATCAAGAGTAGACATTTAACGGAAATTCTATTTCACAAAAACTTTAATTATCTTTAGTCCAAATACATTTTTATGACTAAAAGAAATTTATTTAGAAAAATAGACCAAATATTATCATTCAAAAGATTCTTTTACATTCTGAAAAACTTGAAATCATTGCCTACACTAAGCAAGAAATCCAGAATATAAAGTAGCAATTAACATTTAAATTATTATTCTCTTCAATTAATATGTCTTTGCTATTTTACTATGGTTTTAAATTCTAACAGATTGTTTCAAAATGCCATTCTATTTCTACTCTCCTGAAAACTCAGTGCCATTATGGTTTTTTATTACACAAGGTTGTCAAATTCCCTTGTGCCAGACAGTACATAAACAGCTGGTGATATTAAGTTGTATTTAGGAAAAAATAATTTCTAGGTCTAAAACAAGTATCATTTGACTCCCAAATTTTTGAGACTTTTCTTTTTAGCATACTTTACAACTAAGTTTTCAGAAAATTAAAACACAGTCCACATAATTGTTCACATAAAATTTAGAAAGGGCAATTCTCTAAGAGAGAGTGAGCGTGTGTGTGTGTGTGTGTGTGTGTGTGTAAAAAACAGGGCATGAAAATGACAAAATAGTCTCATTTTGTCAGCTAGTGTCATGCAGGTGATGGGCTCCTAGTTTGGACTCTCACCTGCTGCATTTTTCACTGCCCATTGGCAGGTTAAAGTATCTTTGCCTCCTTGGCTTAGCTAGGGGTACAGAGCAGATAGAAGTGCCCCTAACAAAATCATTCTTGGTTAAATGCAATTTCTCAATGAGGGGTCTTTATATTAGAAACAGTAGCATTTGTCCAGTTGTATTTGACTTCACCGAGGCAAACTCAACATTTTAAAATCTCAGCTAAATAGAAGCTGATAATTTCTTTCACAAACACATCTACTTACTAGTGAATCACTTAGAATTCTTTTAAATGGCAAACACTTCTTTTAGAATATTAAAATGTGAGTGTGTGTGTGTCAATTTTTTCCCCAATTTTTCCAAAACACTGTATTTTAACAAAGTGAAGTTTACCTAAAAATCATAAATGCTTTTCCTCTCCACTCTCCTTTTGCCTTCCAGGGTATCCAATCTGAGATCCAGTTGTTTTATAAGAGGCATGCAATTCCCATCAGACGACAAGTTTGATTCTACTTTCACAGTCAAGATCCAAACCAACCAATTGCTAACAGTCTCTCTTCTGGCCTCTTTGTCCTTTGAGTCAAGATTCCTGATTTCTCCAATTCTTTCAAGACATCCTCAAATAATGAAATAAACTTACTGTTTTCTTTAACACTTTGAGAGCATAAGGCTTCTGGGTCCCCTTCTGTTTGCATCTGTACACAATGGATGTAGCACCCCTTGAGGGGAGAAAAAAAAGAAACAGAAAGTATTATGATCTGAATAGTGAGTTAAAAAAGATAACTTGAAAGTAAGTATCTTTCTGAAGTATCTCTACAACTTGCAAGGCTTATAAATTCCACACAAAGCAGGCCTAGCTGCTTAGAATTTTTTTTTTTTTAAAAGTCACAACTACAGTTCTGGTAGCCTACTGGTAAGAAGATGCACTTTAATCCCAAAGCCACTTCGTTCAAACTCACCAATTGCTCCATAGGAGAAGGATGGGCAATCTACTTCCATGTGATTTACTATATCTGAAAATGCCCTGGAGGGTCAGCTATGGGTCAGTTCTGACTCGACAATTACAACAACAACAACATAGTTTAGCAAGAGCTGGCAGCTTAGTAGTAGGGAGTTATGCTGCCAACCCAAAGACATGTAGTTTGAAATCTTCCAACTGCTTCATAGGAGACAGATGGACAATCTCTTCTCCGTGGTTACGTCTGAAAACCCACTGAACAGTCAAACATGCATCGCTTCTGACTTGAGGGTACAGAACAACAACAAATATAGCTTACTGAACAAAATTCACACTTCCTCATTCTTCTCTCTTTTCTTTCTGTTTCCATCTCTGACCCCCTGTAAGTAATATACTCTATAGGATCTAGAATGAACCATGTCCTCAGCTGAACATGTCTTTGAAAGGGTCCTTACCCAATTCTAGAATCACTCAATTAATGCAAATGTATGTTTCTAGATGAAAATAATTTGTAGCCTCTGAGAAAGGGTTTAAGTTCAGCATTTTCATAGCAGTCTGTACTGTTCAGAACACTCTACTATTTACTTGATACATTCTCTGGGGTTTTAAGTGAGAATTCTTAAAAATGTACACCTACTTATCTGGTACACCAGACTTGCTTAGTGCCAACGTTAGCCCCAGGGGAATGCTGGCTTCTTTATCTGGATGAATATTATTGTTAGTTGCCTTTGAGTTGACTACAACTTTAACAAATTCCTTTAAACAACTGAGAGAATGAATTGAATGTCATTAAGAATATGAGCAGGACTGTCAACCACACTGACCTAGTTGTCTTACAAAGAAAAGTCCTTTCTGCAACAGCAGAATGCATAGTCTCTTGAAAGTTCATTTTCATGCTTAAGATAAAGTTATCATAATCAAGACAGTGAGACTGATGATAAAAACAATGTACAGATAATGAAATGGAAAAATATACTGATATAGTCCAACATGTATATGCTATTGTTATGTATCATCAAGTCAGAATCAACTTAGGTTTTCAGACACTGTAAATCACAGAGAAGATTTCCCATCTTCTACCCTAGAAACATCTAGTGGATTGGAACCATGTGCCTTTGTTACTGTAACTACTTAGCAGAGAGCTCCCTTATATCTTTAGGATCAACTGATTTCTGACAAGGACTAACAGACAACTGAGTGAAGAAAAGAGCATTTTTCCCAACAAATGTGTCTACACCCACTGACTCTTACATGCAAAACAACCAAAAACATTTATCCACAACTGTAACTGTATACATAAAACTATCCAAAAGAGATCATAAATATAAGCATGTTGCTGTGTACCACTGAGTTGGATCCGACCCATTACTGACCCTCTAGCAGGTTTTCAGAGAAAGAATACTGCACAAGAGTAGATTGTCCATTCTTCTCTCAAGTTACAAACATAAAACCTAGATACTCTATAGGGAAGAAAAGAAAACAAACAAACCAGAAGCCTAGTGGTAAGAAGCTGCACCGCCATTCCAAAGGCACATGATTTAAATCAACCAGCTGTTCCACAGGAGAGATGACGGAAATTGCTTCCAGTGTAATTTACTGCCTCTGAAAACGCACTGGAGGACCAGTTATGAGTTGGTTCCAACTCAACAGCATACAACAACAACAAAAACATGACATTGGATTAGGCAATGATATCTCAGCACAATAAATCAAAGAATACACAAATAAATTGGCTTCATTTAAATTACTAATGTTTAGGATGGCACAGAATAGGATAGTGTTCAAATTGGCTGTTCCTAGGGTCTCTGAGTAGTACTCGACTCAAAGGACACATAACAACAACTCTTTGAAGGAGGGAGCCCTATGAACTTGTGAGTAAGGAGTTGTGCTGCCAACACAAAGATAAACTCTAGCACTTCCTCCCATAGAATTACAGCCTCTGAAAATTCGCTAAAGGACTCGTCAGCTATGAGTAAATTCTGAGTTGATGGCACATAACAACAACAACAACGACTCTTTGAAAGGCAGATTAGAAAAAATATACTTGCAAATCACATATTTAATAAAGGGCTTGAATCTAGAATATGATATAAAGATCTTAAAAACCTAATAATAAGAAAGTAAAGCACCTCATAAAAGTGAATAAAAGATTTTCACTAAAGGAATTATACAGGTGGCAAATAAGCAAATGAAAATACCAGTGGTTAACAAGAAAATACCAATTAAGACCAAAATATCATATCATATCATATCATATCACATCATCACATCATATCATATCATATATCATATCATATCATATCATATCATCATATTGTTGCTGTTATGTACTGTCGAGTCATAACCAATCCATAGTTGACCTTCCAGCAGGTTTTTAGAGGCTGTTAACTGAACAAGAGGAGGCTGCCCACCCTTCTCCCACAGAGCAGCTAGTGGATTCAAATTGCATGCCTTCAGGCTTGCAGCTTCTTACCACTAGGCCACCAGAGCTACACACTTATAATCGCTAAGAAATACAGAGGTGAGGGAGCTAGGGAGAAAGCTCTAGTGACTTTGTGTTTTGTAAGGAATTGTGCTGTCAACCTAAAGGCCTTCAGTTCAAATCACCAGTTGCTCAGCTGGAGAAGGATGGGCAATCAACTCACGTGTGAGGGCTAGCTAAGGGTCAGTTCTGACTCGACAGTACTCAACAACAACATGGGTTCATAAGGATGTATAGTAATTAGAAAGTTCACCCATATTTGATGGAAATGTAAAATAGTACAGCTACTTTGGAAAATAGACTGTTAGGTTCTTATCAAGTTAAGCATTGTTAGTACTGTTTACCATGAGTTTCTATCTCAATTCTAAATATTTATTCTCATTTGTAAAGATTACAAACTTGATTAAGAAGATAATTAGAAAAAAAAAACCCACAAAAAACCTGGAAACAAATGTCTCTTAACTGGAAATAGTCTGTCATACCTCTGCACACTCTTCTGACGACTGCCTCTCGATCCAAATTTGGGTTTCTCATAAGCAAAATCAAGAATCCCATTCTTCTCAAAGTTAGCCACAGTTTGTCATGATCCACACAATCAAATAAATGCCTTTGCAGTCAATAAAACACAGACTTCCCTCTGGTATTCTCTGCTTTCAGCTAAGATCCACCTAATGTTTGCTATAATATCCCTAGTGTCAGAATGCAGAAGGATATTACAAAGATGAAGAAGAAAAAGCCAAAATGGATGTCAGAGGAGACTCTGAATATTGCAGTAGAGCATCGAGAAGCCAAAGCAAAGTGAAGAAATCAAGATGTTAAAGAGCTGAACAGAAGATTTCAAAGGACAGCATGGGAAGACAAAGCAAAGTATTAAAATGAAATGTGCAAAGAGCTGGCATTGGAAAATGAAACGGGATGAACTCGCTCAGAATTTAAGCTGAAGGAAACTGAAGAAAAGCATCAAGTCTTGATTTGCAATATTTAAGGATGCTGTGTGCAGAATTTTTATTGACCCAGGAATCATTAAAAGAAGATGGAAGGAGTACAGAGAGTCACTACACCGAAAACAATTGGCTGACAAAAAAGAATTTCATGAAATAACATGATCAAGGGCCTGTGATGATGGAGTAAGAAGTTCAAGCTCTTCTGAGGGAATCGGGGAAAAGAAGGCCCCAGGAATTGACAGTACACCAAATGATATATTTCAACAAACAGATGCTGCCCTAGACATGCTCACAAAGTTGTGCCAAGAACTCTGGAGGGTAAACCATCTGGCCAATTAACTGACTAGAAGAGATCCTTATTTGTTCCCACTGCAAAAAAGGTGACCCGACAGAGTGTAGAAAGTATTGAACAATATTAGCATCATGGGAAAGCAAGATCCTCTGAAAAGTGGACAAAAATGACTGGAAAAGTACATGTCAATCTTAGCAAAAGCTTTTTACCTTTGTTAAATTTAACAAAATATGTTCTTGATTAATTAACCTCTAGGAAGTTCTGATGGTGTAGTCCATAGAGAGTTGTGCTGCTAACCCAAACAACGCCTCTCCAGCAGTTCAAATCCATCAGTGGCTGCTTAGCAGAAGGATGGGAAATCTCCTCCTGAGATATTTACAGCTTCCAAACGTCCACTGGAGAGTCAGCTATGAGCAAGTTGAGTCAAGACAATGAGGGAGGCTTTTGTTGTATTTTTATGCTGGAATGACTTTTTTAAAGCTAGAAATAACTTCTTAAATACAATTTGTTATGTTGTTATGTGCCATCGAGTCGCTTGCAA